CTATCTCCACAACCTTTTCATCTTCCCAAAATGAAATCTGTCCCATTAAGCAGTAACACCTCATGTGCCAGTCTCCAGAGCCTAGTAACTACTATTCTACTTTATGAATTTGTCTATTCTAGGTATCTCATATAAGTGATTTCATACAATATTTGCCCTTTTGTGTCTGGCCTGTTTCCAACAGGCCAGACACAAAATATTTGGAAACACTGTAGCACAGTGTTTCCAAACACTGTGGTAGCATACATCAGACTTTCTTTTTAAGGCTAAAGAATGCTACATTTTGTGTATCCATTAAACCCTTGGACAGGGTTGTTTCTACCTTCTGGCTACTGTGAATAATGCGGCTAAACAGGCGATAACAAGTGCTGGTGATGATGTGGAGATAATGAAACCTTGGTGCATTGCTAGAGGGTATGTACAACAATGCAGCCACTGTGGAAAACAATAGGGTGGTTTCTCAAAAAATTAAAAATAGAATTACCATATGATCCAGCAATTCCACTTCTAGATATATACCAAAGAGAACTGAAAGCAGGGACTTGAACAGACAATTTTATGACAAAGTTCATTTTGATGTCAGCCATCCTAATGGATGTGAAGTGATATCTCATGGTGGTTTTGACTTGTATTTCTCTTATGATTAGTGACGTTGAACATTTTTCATATGCTTATTGGCCATTCGTATATTTTCTTTGGGAAAATGTCTAGTTTTTAATCAATCCTAGAAATGTGTGGTCGAATGGAAAAAATTATTCCTTAAGCATTCTGGCATTCCGGCAGCATGAGCCACTAGCTTACCTAAGCATCACCACAAAGTATAGACATGTTTAATATGACAAAGGTTTTGCTCATTTCCTCTCCATATAAAATGGGCTCAGTTCAATTTAATCAACAGTTTTTATGTATTTTATTTTTTACTTTTTTTATGCCTACAGCACCTGGTATTCCTAGGTGGTCTCCCATCTAAGTACTAACCAGGCCCAACCTTGCTTAGCTTCCGAGATCAGACAAAATCGGGCACATACAGGATGGCATGGCCGTAGACTTAATCAACCAGTTTTTAAATGTAGGTTAGTGGAACCATCCTACTCTTTAAAAGCTTTGTAAAAACACTCAAAAAGACAACAAAAAGGATGCATTCATTACACTTCTCTTAGAGGCAAAAAAAAAGCCTTTACCAATTTAATTTCTTGCACAGAGCTCAAAGACTATTCCTCTTAAAAAAAAAAAAAAAAAAAATCCCTGTGGAAAACATAGTAAGTCTAGAGGTGGAAGGAGGATTAACACCACCAAAAGGTAGCATGTTCAGTAAAACAGCCCACTAAAAACTTCTGCTTTGGGACAAATCCATGTAACTACAATATCACTAAAGCGTAATGCTTTCCTAAGCTCATACTGTCAAGACGGTTATGGCCAAATCAACCATTGAATTCTGCTCATTCAAAACCAGTAATTCTCTTTAGGAAATACTTCTCAATTTTTGAATTTCTAAGATCAGTTTTACCCTAAAATTACTCTATGAGCCAAACAGCTGATATTCTTAAGTAAAATCTGATCCCAATTTACATCACATATATAATGCTCAGAAAGCAGGTAGAAAGGAAAACATTAAAATAAAACTAGCCCCAATTCTATATTAGAAGAGCCTAACTGTACTACCTGTCTGTCTGCTTTCTATCATTATCATGCACCTATAAAATGCAGGGACTCTTCGAGGTGCTTAACTTCTATCACAAAAAAAAGAAAAGGAAAGAAAAAAGAAAAAAAAAAAAGATGTCTGAGTCTGTGCAGCTATATTCTAGGGCCCTTCGATTCACTTTGAGATCAGTGAGTGTGACATACCAGTCATTTGTTTTTGCAGCTGTTTGCAATAAATGACCATAAATATAATTTCTGATATAGATGTGTGGGAACTGAAAGTATACAGAAAAATTTAAATACAGTAGTCTCTGTGAGCACTGTAAGCAATAAAAGTCCATAAAAATTATTTCTTCCAAGAATCAATAACCAATAAGTAACTAAAATGACTGTGCCTGAAATAATGAGGGCTTTCCTTATATTGACAGTTGGGCCCTTTTGATCACCTGCAAGGTACTTACTTCTATTCAAACCTCAGGAGGTTTTAACAATCAGGTAATAACTCAAATTTCACTATCACTGATAATTACAGAATGTTTTAGATTTTTTAAAAAAAGCAAAACAAAAAGAAACACCTCTAGTCAACTGATAAAATTTAAAATGTTCTAAAAGTAGTATACATTCAAAGTACTTCTAGTCACCTGCACAATAGCCAATTAATTGGCTAGTTTAGACTATTTAGACACTTACAGTTCAATATGGTAGCCAAAAGCCACATGTAGTTATTGAGCACTTGCAATGTGCTTGAGTTGAAATATGCTGTAAGTATAACACACACTAGAGAAAAACAATGTAAATATCTCAACAATTTTTAATCTTGATTATATAACAGAATATTTTGAATAAAATGAGCAAAAACATATTAAATTCTTTTACTTTTTTTAATGTGGCAACTAAAAAGTATTATCTTTGTAGCTAACATTCTTTCAAACACTGGTTTAAGACAATAGGAGACTTCTAAAACTGCACACAGAGCTAATACATGTGTTGGAGCTGTACTCAGGAATTTTATGTATTTATTCATTTCTCAGCTTACAAACTGTTCAACACACAACAAAAATCAAACATATCAAACATTTTTATATCAAAATATAAACTTTTTGGAATCTAAAGTGAAACTGTTTAGCAGAGCACTTTCAAATATTTGGGTGTCCACTGTGTGCAGGACATACAATCCACAGAGTAACCTGTGCTGCCTCCCTTCAGCAGAAGGGTCACATATTCTATATGAAGATAATATGCACTGTGCTCCTACAGTATGCCTGGCACCATGCTAGTTATTTTACTCTCATTGACCCATAAAATCCTCACAACTACCCTATGTGGTAGGTACTATTATTAAAGAAAAAACTGAAGGAGACAGGTTAAGCAACTTGCCAAAGTCTCACAACTAGTGACCTGCAGAACCAGGATTCCAACCCATGAGGTTTAATTCAAAACCACCACACATTTTCCCAAGGACTCCACAAAAAGATTATGTCATCATCTTACAGGATTGGGTTTTAGTTGAGTCCATTACAGAAAGAGTGAAGTAGATGGAGTTAATGCTTTGCTTCCTACTCTCCGCCTCACCCTTTCAATGGCAGATTACAGTTGACCACGTGAATTAAATTCCTGATTTTACTACAGGCGTATTCTATGCTCCCTTTCCCAGAAAGGCCCCTCTTTGATCCAATTCCTATTCATCCTTCATGCTTCATTTTAGATATCTCCACGCAAGCCAACTTGAACTCCCCGATTTAGGCTAGTCACCCCTCCTCCCTATGTTTACCCCTACTGCAGCAGTTTCCACAGTCCATTGTCAATGTCCTCACTAGACTGCTCCTAAAGGAGTATATTCTCCGCCTATTCCCAGTGCCTAAAACAGTACCTAGCATTAGGTGCTCAATAAATATTTGCTTTACTATCTAACCACCTGACCCACCCAGCTACAGCTAAAAGTAGAATAGTAAAAAGCAAACTTAATGGTAGGAAGTGCTAACCCACAGGCAGAGATAAGTTCTAAGTTTCACTAAATTTATGGCAGGTCAAAAGAACAGTATGATACTCAGGAAATAATTATTACGATTACGATGATGTCCCTCCTACCTGCCCCCCCCAAAAAGGAGTAAAATCAAAATCCACTTAAAATTATCACTTGCCCAATTAAATTTCAGTACAATTTGTTTTATAAGGATAAATTAAGTAGCTGATATATATCTGCCATAAGAAATCCCATTCGACAATTTCGGTAATGGTACAAATTGTTTGAAATCAGCTTAATTTTGACAATTCCCAGAATTTAAAGAAAACCGCAGTTACTTTTTAATTTATTTTTATTTTTTCGCAGTTACTTTTTAAAATCATCTAAATATTAAAAGTTACACTTAAAAATGGGTTTCACTGCACTGTCTCAAGGTTGAGTGCTGGCCTTCAAGTGACAGGGGCAACCATGTGTCCTTTAAGACATTTACTGTGTTGGGAGTAAACGAATTTCACAGTTAATTCATTTTACACAATTCGTGTTAACGCCACTAAATTTTCTAACTAGAGTCAAAAGGGGCTTTCCTAGAGCCGTCTCTTTTCCTAAACGGGAAACCGATTGAAAAGGTCATCTTTAGCTCTTACCTCCACACTAATTCTGAAACATGAGGTAAAAGTACATTAGACGTACTATGGCAAAACTTTCCTGTAAATTCCAGCATAAAGTAGAAGGGAAAACGTCAATCTTTCGGGTTTGAGGGGAGAAAAACTGATCATCACCCTTAGATTACTGCTTTTGTTGATGTCTCAGAAAGCAACGTTGAGGCAAACGTGCCAGAGTCCCACCCCAAGCACGAAGAGCCTCCAATTGTTTGACACATCAATGGATTAGTCAACGCAGGGCAACTCACTTGCCCCCTCTAATTTGCTTTAATTATTCCTCACACAAACCCTCAAGTTTACTCCAAGTTATGACCATATGGAATCTTCTCTTTGTCCTGAAGTATAAATTCAGGCCTTTACCAAACGTCCACTACTGCTTCAATCCCAAGCACTAAAAGCCCTCGCAAATATCGTACATCTAGTAACGCCACACAAATGTGGAAAAAGCCAGTCCAGTCGCTTAAAGAAATAGGATTCTGGAACACTGTTAATGCTGCATATTTTTAACAGCAGGCACTAAGCAGAGTGGGAGACTCGAAAGCAAAAGACCGGATGGAAAGCATGGGAAGACCCCGCCCCAGCAAGCTTGATGCCGACTCAAACAGTAACTTGGGTCGGTCGCCTGGAATCGGAATCACTGAAACAAAGGCGTATATTACGGGAAGCCAAGAAGTGTGGAGTACAAGAAACGGTTTGCAGCTAGAGCCCGTACCCCATCCTCCCACAGGTCTTACCTATGGTGGAAATAAAGGTGGTATTGAAGGCATCATCCGAAAAACGAAAAAGGACGCAGGTCTTCCCCACTCCCGAGTCTCCGATCAGGAGCAGCTTGAAAAGCAGGTCGTACGTCTTCTTCGCCATTGGGAGGAGCGGCTCAGGCGCTCGCCGCCGGCGGCCCCAAGGGATCGGTCCCTCTCACTATGGCCAACTCACTCGGGCGTTCTCAGGCCGGAGGACCGAGGAAGCGTGGGAAAAAAAGAGGGTTCGAGAGGGCGCGGGCGACCTACGAACGGCTTCGTCGAAGGAGCCCCGATGGTGGCGGCGTCTGGTGCCTCCGAGGGCGGCGACCGCGGCTCCACCGCCTCTCCCAGCCGCTCCGCCCGGTTCCGGGGAGTCGGTCGGGACAAAATGGCCTCCCCTCCCCCCTCAGGGCTGCTCGGCCGGGACGCTCCCACGGGCGAGAGAGCAAGCTCTGCCGTCGGGAGAGCGCGGCGGGCGTGAGGACAGTCTCTCTCCCGAGCAGGAACTGCGCGCTAGGTCGCGGCGATGGCAGCAAAGGAGGACCCTGAGCCGACGAGCTCAGCTACATAGCCACAGGAAGCCGAGGCGCCCGGGCAAGAGCCACCTTTTCCCCGTGCCCTCTCACGCCGGCGTGCGCGCTGCCTGAGACGCACGCAAGGACGTACGCCCGCCCTTCCCTCGTGCCCTCGCCCTGCGGCCCGCCTCTGCGCACGCGCGCCAGAGGACGGGGGCGCATTCTGGGGCGGGGAGAGGAGCGCTAGGTCTCGGAGCCAGAGTCTAAGGCCGGACGGAGACGAGAGAGGGGTGGGGCGAGAGAGGGCGAGGCCGCGGGCGCGCTCCCTGTGGCCGCCTGATAGGGTGCGCGGCGTTACGAGCACGCCCCGCAGGGAGGCACTGCCTAGTGACTGCGCAGACGCGGCACGCTGGAGCAGCCCCTTCGTACTCTTTTTCGCTCCCAGGCTCGCCCTCCAGGCTGCGCTGAGGATGCTCCGGGCCCTGTGTGTCGTGTGCGTGTGTGCGTGTGTGCGTGTGTGTAGCTGTCCTTGACTCAGCGACGGGCTTGGGTGGCCGTGTGTTCCTGTGTAGCTGTAGCTTGTAAACGCGAGAATAAAATAGCTCCCTGAGTCATTTGATAGCCTCTTTGCTAAAATGAGACGCATCCTGGCGTGCCCTCCGTCGTGGACTATTTATGACAGGGGTTTAACAGTAGCGCTCCATCCCGATTCACTTAAAGAGCAAGAGTTGGCGTTTCAGGGAACAGGAGTTTGAAATGGAAAAACTAGCCACGCTGCTCAGGTCGGGATGATGTAATCTGCCTTCCAGGAGAGGAAGTCTGAGGAACACCTGGGCGCAGGGAGAACCTCCCCACCAAGTGGAAGCTGCGGTGCTGTACTCTACGCGGATAACACGCTCCAGGCCTTGGCGGTCCTTTTGGAACACCGGACGCTATATGAAGGGGGCAGGTCCCTTCCTTCGCGTCAAAATCGAACGACCAGTGTCCAAAATTGAAGGATAGTGAAGCCAACGCCAACTGACGCTGCCTCTTCTTACACTTTGTCATACGCCTTCCCTCTCTCCCCATCAGTCTTATTTATACCTCCCTTTTCCTCTTTTCTGTAGGTTAAATATTCATACTCCTGCCCTACCATTATCACTGATTCATCGCTCCAAAGCACACCTAGGATGGCAGAGTAGTTGAACCTGGTGGGCTGGATCAACCTGAAACCAGAGAAAATGCTGAGACATCTGGAAAGCAAGAAATGGACTGAGAAACAAGTAAAAACTACATTTTACTCCCTTCCCCCACTCAAATGTTTGTGTATTTAATGTATAATTAAAATTAGGCTTTCAGACAGTTAGGGTAATCATATTTCAGTCTCCCGTTTGGAGACGTGTCTTAAATTCTTCCTTTCCAACCATCCTTAAAGCTTCATTACTGAAGAGTCTTGTCTTCTCTAATACACTTCGCTCTTCAGTTTGTTTCTGTGATCACTCTTTTAAGTTTTGTCACTTAAACATTCTTTCCTTCAGTTGGGAATGTCTTATTAAGATAACACCAGTAGCTAGGGAAATCACAAAATGAGCTATGGTCAATGTTTCACAGGTTTGTGATCAATTCAGACGTATAACATTGAGCACCTCAGGAGTATCCTCAGTGTTAGATTGATTCTTCCTTTCAAAATAAGTTGTATTAACTCAAGCCACAGTGTTGTAAGCATTTTGGAAATGTTATGATTTTTAAATGTAGACAGCCTAATTAATTCCCCTACATATATTTTGGGGATAATGAGCAGCTAAAAATTTAAAATTAAAAAAAAAACTTCATCCCGGTTTCCAACAGTTTTATCAATTAGAGCCTTTGCTCTATGGACTCCATATTCTGAAACTTTAAGAACTAATTATACTCTTTAACAATTTTATTATTGGGTCAGTATCATAGAACTTTAGAGCTGTCATGTCTTTTAACCCATTTCTCTTTTGCCCTAAGAATACTCACTGCTGCAGCATTTACCCTGCGATAACTCACAGGTTACAGCCCTAACCTTACCCCCAAAATTTCCCAGGAACTATCTCGCTTTTATTATAATTTTTGCATCATTCTAGTATATCGATAGTCTTTGGAAACAAATGACGTCATTTTATTTATAGCTTTCTGGTTTTAGTAGTGGTATTTCCACTTACAAAATATAATTCTCGATCACTAAAAATGTCAAATCCTAGAAAACATAGCGTTCCTACGCATGATGTTAAATTAATGCTGGCAGCGAGCTGCACTTTTTTTTCTAAACAGGAAGTAGGTTAAATAATAATTCAACTCCTGAACATAATTTACAGATGAGTCTAAGGCTCAGAGAGTTTAGGGACTTGCCAGAGGTCACACCGTTAGTGGCAGAGCCAGCACTATAAAGGCAGGGGAAAAAGGAAGAAAACCTCCACAGGACATCATATTGCTTATAGGAGAGACTTAGGAGGCTCAGCCAGTACTTGATGTTTGCCTTCCCTAAAGTTAATTAAAAGTTTTGCTGGAGTGAGGCCTAAGCATCAAGCTGTATCCACTACTGAAGGCAGCTGGAGTGATCAGGCATGAGAGAACCCTGACTCTAGAAAAAACGAATAAAATGGGGAACTATGTAGTGAAAGAAAATGCCAATTTAGTATCAGCTTAGGGCTTATGCCCTTTTCAAAACTGCTTTATAAAAATCTAGCCCAAATATTTACAAAGCCAAGAAAGAAAATAAGTATTTTTTATGTTTATAATATTAAGGTATTATTTCTGTATTTTTCTAGAAAACACACAACTGGCCAGCTTATAGTTCCAGTCTTCAGCTTCAACTCTCAAGACCTGCCTTATAAGAAATCCCTGCCTCAAAAGATTGACTCAGGATCATCTTTATCCCTCCTTCTGTGTATGTTTTCAAGTCTCTATACCTGATTTCTTCCTCTTTAATCCCTCCACCCCTTGCTCTCTCTGTTCTTAAGAATAGAGTGAGTCTTCCCTCGAATGGCAGCCCCAGCTGCTATGTCATAACCTTACTATAAAATCTACCCATCTAGTCTCTGAGATTTTGCCTATTTATATATTGCCTATTTGCTCTGTTCACATTCCCAATATCCCCCCAGGGACTTACATGACATGCTAAATTCTGATTGCCCAGAGGCTACAACTTTTCTTATCACAATAGCCTGCCAATATCTGCTCTGCCTGCATATCTTGATTTAGTGCTACCTCCTGTTAGAGAATGATTGCCCCTGAGCCTTCCCCAGCTTACTGGATGTATTTGTTCTAGTCTTCTGAGAGGGATGCCTCAGTTCTGAAGTGCCGGCCTCAGTTGTCACTTAAGGAGCTCCAGGCCCTAGCCAATGAGCTTTATATTGCTATCCCAGTTTCCACACACTATTCTACAGACCAGCTGAACTAGTCTTATTTCCTATAGTTACCATGTATCTTCTTGATCTCATGCTTAGTTTAATATAGTTCTCTCTATGGGAAATGCATCCTCTACTCACACAACCTACATCCTTTCAACTTTCAACTTAAATGTCCTCATCAGAGCCTGTCTTTCTCAACACCCTTGCTAGAAGGAACTTGTTTCTCTTTTGAATTCCCATAGTACTACAGCACTTTTAAAAATCAGTTGATTCCCCCTTCTATTTCACAAGTAATACATATTTATTTTTAGATACTCAGAACCTGCCATAAGCAAAACAAAAAATTTTAATTATTAAAACTTCTACCCCTAGCCAAAGAGATGGTTATGAAAAGGGAGGGAGTATGGGAGTATATGGAAGGTATTGTGATAAATTTGCATGGTGACAGATGATTACTAGAATCAGTGGGGCGATCACATTATAAGTTATAAAAATATTGAATCACTATATTATACACCTGAAAATAATATAACCAATATACGATCGTATACCAACTATACTTAAACTAAAAAATAAATTAAAAAAAAAGAAAAGATAAAACTTTTACCCCCAGAGATCACCACTGTTAACATTTTGATGAATGGCCATGGATATTCTTCTTTCTATAGTTCTTTATTTAGACATTTCTTATGACACATTTTCTACATTTTACAAAAAATTCTTATACGCATATTATTTTCTCAAATTGGAATCTCGAGCGATATGACTGTTGTATATATCACTTTGCACAGTGCCTTGAATATATCAGAACATCAAAACATGTTTATTGAAGGAAAAAGCAAATAAAACTCAGATTTACATTTTTTTCATGGAAAACAATACTAATTTGGAGAAATTTTTAAAATGTTGAAAAATAATTAAAAATTCAAAAGAAATGAATGAAAAGATAGTACTTTGGAGCAATATTTTATTTATTTTAGAAAATACATGAAGAACTTACCAAACTCCATCATCGAGTTTATTTCTGTGAACAAGAAATACTGTTAAAGCTAATAGAGCAACTGTGATATAGCAGAATGAACATTAAACTTGGAGTCAGACAGCGTAGACTCAGAAACCAACTCTCCCACTGACTAGCTCTGTGACAATGGAGGATTCATTTAACCTCACATTTTCCTCATATGTCAAAAAGGTATAGTACTCCAAGAGATTGTTTCAAAAATTAAATAAGATAATGGAAGTAAAAGTGTTTTATATAGCATAAAACACTATGCAAATATAGTGATTACTACTATTAAGGGGTAAGAGCGATGAATTGCACCACAAGGGAAAAGAAAGCAGGAAAATTGCAACACTAGTTCCTCAGATAGTTTATATCTTGCAGGGGGAAGAGACTCAGGGTTTATGGAACTACTAGTCCCACTGCCGGGTTCTTTGCATGAAGCATTTTAATCTTCAAAATAGCTTGCTTTGGTAGTTACTTACAACCTCACTTTCCAAGTGAGGAAATTGAAGTTCAGAATGATTAGTGATTGTCTACGATGACCCAGCTAAAATGAGGTAGAACAGAGAATCAAGATCAGATCACTGTGACTCCACTATATCATGCCACGAGTCTATTAATTTATAAGTTATATATGTAACTTCATATTTCTTGGCTTGGCATAGGGTTAAACCCTTTTCTTTTTGTCATTGTCTTTTTAAGTCTGAAAGGTCTTTCTCTAGGTCTTGACACTTGAGGATATAGTTTTCTGCAGAGAGATCTAAGGCTAAATTAATTTCTGTTCCATTTAGGTTCTAAGTCTCTCCCTATAACATCACCCATTTGCTTTAATTCTGCCCTCTGGAGCAACACAGAATAAACTTTCCCCCATATTCACATGATAGCTCTTCAGCTATTTGAAGATAGTATTGGAATTTTCCTCTAAATTGTTCCAAGCTAACACTCTTCACATAAGACAACTCACAGATAACTATCAGTACTACCATTCTGGTTTGTATATGTTGCTCTTGGAATGTGGCATTCATAATTTAACACTGTGCTAGAGTTGAGGACAGAACCCTATGGAAATACCCAAATCAGGCTAACACTAGCAGGTAAGAGATATAAGGGCCAATTGAATTACTCCCTAACATTGAGGTGATTTGGTACCCGATTGAGAAGAAACCGCCTTCCAAACCAAGCTTCCATTGTAACCATTCTTTAAGTTACTAAAGCTATTTAATTATGATAAAATTATATCTTACATTTACAAATTTAAAATAGACAAGAAAGAAATGGCAAGTCACACGAGTATAAGAAAAATTATAAAGAAATGTTCAAAATCACTTGTAATCCAAGAAATTAAAATCAAAACAATGAAATAATATTTTCTGCCCATCAGAATGGCAAAAATTAGCGAGATGGATAATACAAAATGTTGATGAGGATGTGGAGAGATGAGCATTCAATTGTATAGGTAGTGGGAGTACAATCTGGTCCAGCCATTCTGGAAATCAGTCAGCCAATATTAATAAATGTGTACATGCCTGTGACCTAACAATACCTAACTCTTGGGTGTGTCCAAGAGGAATTCTCACATAGGTTCATCATGACTTTGTTTGTGCCAACTAGATGTTGAAATTAATCTAAATGTCTGTTATTAGGGGAATGAATAAATAAAATGTTGTGGATGCATATTGAGTTCAGCCAGATTACAAAGGATGCCTTGGGTTTGAAAATTGGCTAAAAGGACAACTCAGACCCAATTCAAGGTTGTTATCACTTCAGTTTGCTAATAAACTAGCAAATAAAGCAAAGAACGATGTCTTCCTAGTTCCTCACAAAAACAGGCCCAAATTCTGGTGATCGATGCGAGCCATTTAGAGGGAAGAAACTAAGTTTTTATAGGTTTTGACTTGAGGAGGGGCTGGGTCAGCATTCAAGCGTCTACCATCTGCCGTGTAAGAAAATTCTCTGTTGTACAATTGGGCCTAAATCAGGCCTATCCATTGCCTACCCCATCTTGCTATAAAATATTGTGTAATAGTATTAAGCTAGTACTAAGCTGCACATTCAGCAACATGGAGAATTGAAACAAAACAAAATGATTTATAGTACAATTTCATTCATGTAAATTAAAAACATAAAACAATTTTGAGGTTTTATACATATTTAATAATGTACATCAAATACATTAGAAAGGGAACTTTTGGAAAGGTGGCTAATGAGAAGGGAAGAAGGGAAAAATATGAAATGAAATAAAATGAGCAGGACCTTGCACAGATTTAAAATGTCAGTAGTCAGTGTGCTAGGAAGTGAGGATGATTAATTCAGTGCTCTGCCTCCCAGATCTAAATTTTTAAGCAGAAGTGAGGAGGAGATTAAATAGTACATGGAGATAGAAAAAATTGATATTGATCCTCCTTATAGATATCAGAATAACAGCCAATTGAGAAAAAAGACTATTTGGTTTGGTTTGATAAAATAATACAGATTCTGGCTGTTTGCTTTTATGTTTAATTGCCACTTAGCATGACAATAGTTATGCAGATTTTAAAATTTGTGACAGATGTGTTTGATCGCATTGATTTGATCATGGAAGCTGGCTCAGACTTTAAGGAATTGTCTGTTCACGAAGTCTGTTGCTCAGCTCTAGTTGTCACTTATCAGCCTTTGCCCAGCCCTGTCTGATTCCAGCTCTTTGGACTAAGCACCCAGTTATTTGCAGGCTGCCCCACCCCTTTCTTGGAGCCAGAGAGAGAGTAGAAGCACAGGATATCAAAAGTCCTCATGCTACATACCCATTGAGTTAGACTCTTCCAAAATAATACCTTGGTACAGCCATCTCTATTGTCCAAAACACCCCAAAGAGGAAGCTAGACCCTTGCCCATGCAGTTTGTACATCCAGATTTCCACTGCCTTTTGCCCTGCTTCAGGGTACTGGCGTCTTGACAGCCAAAGGAAGATCCTGTTTCTTTGCCTTGTTCCTTCCAGTGCTAGTCCCCCACCCCTTACCCAGATTTACACTCATTTCCTTGGGTAATGGATATTTATCAGGTCTTTGGCTGCCCAGCATTGAACCCCCTGCTTTTGACTAGGAAACTCTCCACCACGAGTATTCAGTATGCAGAGCCCTCTTCCCACTATATTTCCTTCCCCAGCACCCAGCACCCATTACACCCCCAAACACACATTTAGGCTGTGGGGACGTGAGCTGGGTTCTACCAGTCTGATGCACCAGCCCAAAACCTTGACACGGGGGTTAATGATACAAAGGAGGATGGACTGGGCATGTACTAAGAAGGCGGTAGGGTGCAACAGCACTTGGTTTCTAGGGCACCTATGTATAATATAATATAATATAACATAATATATAATATGTTTAATAATATTCCCAAAGCCAGATGGTATCCCACCCAGGTTCAGTGCCAGCCACAGTTGTGCTGCAGGATTTCTTTGGTGTCCTGCAGGAACAGTGATAGCATCATTGTCTGGCTTCAACAGACTACATCTGTGGTGTGTTTCTGCCCCCCAATTTCTTAGCCTGATTCTCCTGCCTTCCCAGTAATTCTGAGAGCTTCCCAATAGCCTTTCAATAAATTTATTTTCTGCTTCTATTTGCCAAAGTTGGTTTGTGTTGCAGCCAAGATCTCTGACTGACATACTTGTTTCTGGTAGAACTCCTAGGGTGACTCCAACTTTGCCTGAT